CACTATCTTTTAAAATAAAAATCCATAAAATAATCTAAATGATTCTTCCCTAATACTGGTCCATAGACGGTCTGCCTCAGAATTAGCTAGGAAGCTATAGGATTTTTTTTACTCTATTTTTCCAATCTATATACCATAAGGACTCAATGTAACTCTATAGGCACACTCGGTGGGCATTTATTGAGTGCCTGCTCTGTGCCAGGCCCCATTCCAGGCTCTTCACAAGCATCCACTTGGTTAATCCTCGTAACAACCCTGTGAAGTAGGGAGAAGAGGCTTGTGGTAGGCAGAACAACCACATCCCAAAGACGTTCATGTCCTGCATCACCTGGAACCTGGATGCCCATGCCACCCAAAACTAGTGAATACGTTACCCACATGGCAAAAAGGTCTTTGAAGATATGATTAAGGGAAGGCTCTTGAGATGGCGAGATTAACCTGGATTATCCAGGTGGGCCCAATGTAATGACAAAGGTGCTTATAAGAGAAAGAGGGAGGCAGAAAAGTCAGAATCAGAGAAGGAGACGTCATGATGGAAGCACAGGTCAGAGAGATTTCAAGATGCTATGCTCGGGCTTTGAAGATGAAGGAGGGTCAAAAGTCAAGGGATACAGGCAGACTACAGAAGCTGGAAAAGACAAGGAAACAAATTGCCATCTAGAGCCTCCAGAAGGAAGACAGCCATGCTGACATCTTGATTTTATCCCAGTGAGACTCATTTCAAGAACTTCTGACCTCCAGAACTGGAAGACAATAAATTGGTGTTGTTTTAAGCGACTAAGTTTGTGATAATTTGTTACAGCAGCAGCAATAGTAAACTAATACAGGTTGTTCCCAGGAGAAAAATAGTGAGAGGGGAAACTGGACTATACCCCCCAGGGGCATGCATACTGCGGGGGAAGGAGGAGTGTCGCACTGATTTGGAAACAAACAACTGAGGAGAAGAGAGAGAGACATCTGGAGTCAGCAGGATGGCTGTGCTTGTGCAATGGGACCTCCCCTGGAATCCATTCCATCTTTAGATAAGTTACTCAGCTCCTAAGATGCTGCTTGTGATCAACTTGGGATCCAATCCAACAGCGATGAGATTAAGTTTCCTGCTAGGGTTTAATGTGCTGGAGAATTGAGGGAGCATGAACAAACCCCAAGCGCAGAGACAGAGAAGCAAGTGTCCAGAAAGGAATATTACAGTAAATATTCAATATACTCAGAAATTCAACTTAAATGTACAATAAATATATACAAAAAAAAGAGTGTCCTATAAAGGAGTATCACACAGCAAACATAAGGGCTCCCTCTGAGAGACGTTTACACTATTACATTAACATGTCCCATCATTTCACATCCCACGCACATGAAACAATAAACAGTAACCACACAGCTGAGGATAGGTGACACTGGATAATCTAAAACAACTGCTTACACTCTTCAAAGAATTGTTTACTCTTTCCTGCGGTTTATCTGCAGGACACCCTGTGCTTTGCTGTGGTTTTTCCACATCTTATAACTTTGATTTGTTTTTATCCTTATTGCTGTCACTTGGGACACATAATGTAGCTCATGGTATCTCTCTCCCTCTGCCTGGACCCATGGGTGATTCCAGTGTGGAAACCCCTTTTGGATATAATTACAGTACTGTCCACCTGGAACAAGGCAGGGTCTTCTGGGAACATGTCTGTCAGGCTGCTGGATTAGCACCGGATCCGCTGAGTAGAGTGGGACACTGATGATTTTCCCACCGATTCTCTTCCTACCCTTTTGCCTCTGAATATTGAATAATGTTGTTAAGAAAAATTATCCAAAACTTCGAAATGGGTGAAAAGGATTGCTGGGTGTCCCTTTAGTGTAGGCTGGGATTGTCTAACAGGCCAACACCTCCAGGGATTATCTGATTTTCTAGGGATGTGTACCTTTGTTTGACTTCCTAGTTAGTACTGTTTAAATTACTTTATGACCCTGCCAGAGTGCAAGGGGACAGGGTAACTTGTAGAAAACTCATAGCACTGCAAATGATTTTTGTCTGAGAGTAATGCAAATGGCTCCCATCCAATGACAATGCAAATAATTTCTGTCTCATAGAAAAGATAGCCCCCAAAGTTAGGTTTATTGCCTTGTAGGACATTAAGTAGTCTTGAGTCTATTAACAAATTCATTTTAGCATTCCTTTGACTCTATAAATCTCCATTCCTTGAAATCTCATTTGAACCAGTCTTAACATATAACCATTCCCTCATTAATTAATGAATTGAATAAAATTTTTGACACATGTTCATTTTGTATTTCTATGCAAGCTATGTTTTTAACTTTTGAAAATTATGCTTTAACAATACAAAAAGGTCTGTTGCAGTCAGAGCTTTGGACAGGTATTCCTGTCTCTCACATTCCTCACCTAATGGGGCTCTGGGCATAGGAACAGCTATGGTGTTTTAAGAAATTAAAGTGACCCAGGAGAGTCTACAGTGGTTGAACATTAGTATGACTCAGTTCCACAAAGTTCTCACTCTCAGTTTATCCCAAATGTTAATGAGGACTCAATACTTTTTTGAAAAACAAACAAACAAACTTAACATATTTTAAACAAGCAACATTTTAATATTCTTAATTTCAAGATGAGAGCAGGGGAGGGGGTTGCATACTTTGTACAGTGGTTCTCAACGTGTGGTCCATAAACCTCTGGGGTCCCTGAGGCCTTTGCAAGTGGTCTGCAGGCCAAAACTATTTTCATTATAATGATAATGTGTGGGTGAAAAAATCTATTCAAAGTGCACGATAGACCAATACATTTTAATATAACAGAGTACAAAAAGTTCATTGATGTTTCCGATTCAACCTTGCGATTACCTTTAAGAAACCACCACTTGTTGAGTTTTGGTAAAGTATCAAAGAAGAATATTCATAATTATCTGAAATGGTTATTAAAATACTCTTCCACTTTCAGCAGGTTCTATTCATTAGTTCTGGTATTTACCACTATAACGTTAAGTAATAAAATTATACTTCAATTTTGGTATATTGTCTTTAGACAGTTCCGCTGACACTCTGCCATGTACTATGAGATATTCAGCACGGTCATACAGCTTTCCTCCCACACCCCAAACCCTTTTCTAGTTTCTGCTATCTTTGTTATCTTTAGCTTTAATAGTACCTTTCTAACTCAAAAAAGAAAACAAAAGACATAAACCTCTAATTCTTCGTCTGTGACTCCTTGTTATGAAAGATGAAGGCATCACCTCACACTTGCTTCTACTTCTCATCCCCAATTTCACCTCCTGATTTTTGTTAGCTATATTATTTTTATGTTGTCAAGGTTTAAGACATTTTTGTTTTATTCTGAAATTCCAAACCGAGCTTTCTGCATTTGTCTCTATATTGATTCTAAAAAATTTTAAACTTAAAACATAATGATCGGGCCGGCCCCGTGGCTTAGCGGTTAAGTGTGTGTGCTCCGCTGCTGGCGGCCCGGGTTCTGATCCCGGTCGCGCACCGACACACCACTTCTCCGGCCATGCTAAGGCCGCGTCCCACATGCAGCAACTAGAAGGATGTGCAGCTATGACATGCAACTATCTACTGGGGCTTTGGGGGAAAAACTAAATAAATAAAATTATAAAAAAAAAACCAAAAAAACAAAAAACATAATGATCATGTAAGTACTATTCATTGCAAGACCAAGCAGCGTGATGTGACCCACAGAAAAGTAAATGTAATTCTACGTTGTTAAATCCCTCTGGTCAAGGAGAATGTCTCAAGCATAAAGGTACAGTGGATTTTCTTCTTGTTACTTCTGAATTTTCTAGACCAGTGCTATCTAGTACAATGTGCTGTAATGATGGGAATATTCTATATCTGTGCTGTCCAATACTAGCTTACTAGCACATGAATGTGGCCAGTGTGACTGAGGACCTGAATTTTTAATATTATTTAATTTTAATTACTTTAAATTTAAATATCAACAACCACATGTCACCAGTGGCTATCGTACTGGACAGTGCAGGTCTAGGCCACACTATGATACTCTTTCCCTCATCTCCCACCATCTAAGGCTTATCTACTATTATTGAGCTCCTGTCATAACAAGCACTCCATTTCTTGGGAGACCACTATGTGTGAGCCCTGTGATAGTTGTTCTTTAAATATTCTCTCTCTCTTCCCTGTAAGGATGATGTTACTACCCGACTTAGCAGATGAGAAACCATGATCCCTAGAGATTAACAGCTGGCACACAGCTTGGAGATGTGGAAATTAATAAAAGAAACCTTAACTAAATTGGAGTTGGGAAGGCCTGTAGGGGGAGGTCTCATGCCCTATCACACATCGCCAATTATTCCAAACAGGAAGAGACATATGCTTGTATCTTTGACAGGAAGTAAAACTACTTTGCTACTGAAGGAAGATTTCTCTCCCCACCCAGCAACAGCCCAGCCAATGAGAAACACCGTAGCTCAGCCAATGAGAAGCCATTGCCACTGTGAACTGTTACTTTCCTCCAATGAACTTTCCTTTAGAACAGCCCCTCCCTACTCTCCCTTTTTCTCTATAAAAGCAGCTCCCCTCCTTTGTTTTCCGGATTTGCCTATGGTTCACCATAGCATGCACATCCTAAATTGCAATTCTTTTGGCTATTCCCAAATAAACTCATTTTGAGGATAAAGTAACGATGACTTTACTTTTTAAGCTGACAGAGAGGTAGCGGAGCTAGGATTTGAGAAGCCTGCATTCCTCCCATGGCCCCTCTTTGAGCACAATACAAGCACCAGACACTGTGTTATGTGCTAGGAATTCAAGGGTGAAAGAAGCTCAAGCCCTGTCCTGGAGGCATCAAACTAAGCCCGGCCATAGTTACTTTTTGGGTCTGCTGTGATTGATTTCATGAACTTGAGGTAGTGTTCATTTCCACTGCTACTGTGCTAACAGGGTTTGTTTCTTATTAAACAATGATGTGTTCTAAGAAGATGGAGAAGATTTACAAAATTTTTAAAGTGCAGCTAACTTTAACTTACCTCCTTTTGATAGGCCAGTCCAGCTTCGTAGAGTTTAATAAAGAGGTACTGAGTCCATTTGTAGTAATCTGGTGAACACGTAGTTATTTCCTGCCAAAGAGGGAGAAAAATCATGTCTAGGTCATTGTAAATATTCCCCTCCCGCAACGTATGCAGCAGCCTTGCACTTCAATCTTAAAAAGCAATCATACTGCAAAAATATTCACCAGCCTACAATATTTTTACCAATTCGTAAAGTGAGGGAAGAAGCAATTTATTCTGGGAAGAGAGATGCTATTGAAATGCCACCCCCACGTTTCCCAGGGCATGTTCAATGATAAGAAACTCAACTTGAAGTCTTCTGCACACCCCTACCCCAGCCATGCAAGTAACAGGTGAAGTACATTCTATGAAATTGGGTATTACCATTTTTGTAAGCACAAACATATTTGCGGGGCCATACAACTAATTCATGAATGTAGTTAATTTTAAAAGCAATCATAAAATTCAAGAGAAATATTTACTTGTTTCAGCATGATCCTCACTTGAAAAAAAAATCTTGTGTTTCTACATAGAACTGGGGCCTTGTAGCTGCTTTAGACTCATTATATTCCATTTATCCCATTATGTGAATTAGGCTGTTGTCCACTTAGGAAGACCCATTAAAAACATTATCCAATATTAAACTTGATCAGTGAGAAATCACCTGGCTTGTATTTCTAAGCCTAAATTGAAGGTTCCTGAAATTTATTTTCTGTCCTGAAAATACATTTGCTATAGAATCTTTAAAAACAGGTTATTGATTAACCAACCTATAAGGTTTGCAGTTGATGAAGTCAAGCGAGTATGAAAACCTCTGCACTGTCCCACTGTTTCTTTTCTAGTGCTCTTCACTAACTTCAAAAAATAGCTAACATAGAAATGGATGTAGGGCAGGGAACATTCCAAATGGTTCCATTTGTAATGGACTATTGATAGAAGGCATACAGTAGTCCCCGCTTATCCGTGGTTTCGCTTTCCACGGTTTCAGTTACCCGTGGTCAACCGCGGTCCGAAAATATTAAATAGAAAATTCCAGAAACAAACAATTCATAACTTTTAAGTTGTGCACCGTTCTGAGTAGCATGATGAAATCTCACGCAGTCCCACTCCCTCCTGCCTGCAACGTGAATCAGCCCTTTGTCCAGGGCATCCACGTTGTACATGCTAGCCGCCATTAGTCACTAGCAGCCCTCTTGGTTATCAGATTGGCTGTCGCAGTATTGCAGTGCTTGTGTTCAAGTCACCCTTACTTTACCTAATAATGGCCCCAAAGCACAAGAGTAGTGACACTGGCAATTTGGATATGTCAAAGAGAAACTGTAAAGTGCTTCCCTTAAGCGAAAAAGTGAAAGTTCTCGACTTAATAAGGAAAGAAAAAAAATCATATGCTGAGGTTGCTAAGATCTATGGTAACTTTTATTATAATATATGGTTATAGTTGTTCTATTTTATTATCAGTTATTATTGTTAATCTCTTACTGTGCCTAATTTGTAAATTAAACTTTATCATAGGTATGTATGTAAAAGGAAAAAACATAGTATATATAGGGTTCGGTTATATCTATGGTTTTGGGCATCCACTGGGGGGTCTTGGGATGTATGCCCCACGGATAAGGGGGGACTACTATATTTCTATCAAAAGTGCACACAACTCAGTCTTTCTTCAGATGAATAAATGAGGAGAGAGCTTAAAACCTAGGATGGGAGGGCAAGTGTGGCAGGAACTGAGCAAGGTGTCAGGTAAACTTCTGGTGCCCCCCATGGGCTATTTTTCTTATGTAAGACTCCTAGGTTCTTTTATGTGCTGTTTTGTAAAAATAGCAGAGTAATAACTATTAGAAAACAAATAACTCAACTCTGATCACTGGGCTCCACTCCCCCCTGCAAGGCAGGTAGTGAATAACCAGCCAATCTAACAGCTTTGCCCACACTGTAGCTGTCCCCTGCCAGGCAGGCCCCGTGCAATGCCAGAGCCGTGATTTCAAGCCACGTGCACAACACAGCCTCTACCAGCTCCCGAGGCTCTATGGACAACAAGTCTGCAGGGGCATCATGCACAAAGCACTTTGCCAACTCAAGAATCAGATTAGCACACTACGGGCAGGCTTGTTCGCCAAAACCTCCAAATTCATCCTCATCCCATCACCCTTTCCTCACCAGCTACTCCCGCTGCAGGCATGACACAGAACCCACTTTCCTCAGTTTTCCAGACAAGCAACTCAAAAACTTCCATTTTCTAACAAAACCCAAGGCAGGAGCTACGTTTGGTCTGTTTTGTTTTGCTCATCATTGTATGTTCAGGTTGAGGCATCCCAAAATGGTTGTTGAATGAAGAATAAACTAAACAGATATAGGAACACCTGCATGTTGAATCAAATTTGTATCTCTCATGTAAGTTTCACAAATTCGATTTAAATTACATTGGTCTACAAGATGAACTGGGATAGGGGATGGGGGTAGAGTTAAGGGGAATGTGGTAAAAATATTCCCAGACTTTATTATTGTGGAGATATATAAATTTTTTTTTGGTGTGGAAGACTGGCCCTGAGCTAACATCTGTTGCCAATCCTCCTCTTTTTGCTGAGGAAGATCACTGAACATACGTGCCACTCTTCCTCCATTTTGTATGTGGGACACCACCACAGCATGGCTTAATGAGTGGCATGTAGGTCTGAGCCCAGGATCCAAACCCCTGAACCCCGGGCCACCAAAGTGGAGCATGCAAACTTAACCACTATGCCACTGGGCCGGCCCCTGGATATGTTTTTTAAAATTCTTATCCATTACAAGTTTAAAAACATATGTTAAGCAAATATGACAAAATAATGACTATTAAATTTAGGGGATGAGAGTTCTCTTTTCTGTATTTTTTTATATATTCAAGTTTTTCATAATAAAATATCAAAACACTTCTAACGAATATACGTACGTATATCTGTACATGTGTATCTATATATGTAGGTATGTATTTTCCCAGCCCCTGAATCTGCCTCCACAGATTGAGAGTGAAAACTATACAGCAATGGAACAGCATTATTATCTTCATCTCAGTTTATGGTTTTGAAAATCACTTTTACCTCAAATAGGAAAAGGATGATAGATCCAGTCAAGAAAAAAAAAAAAAATCATTATTCAACCAAGCATTAGCCTACTTTCAGTCAGACGTGTACCGTCAAGTGCGTTCTCTCTGGAAGGGAGGTGAGGTGAGGAGAGGGGTGGGGGATTCCAGGCCCCCTTCTTTCACCCTGGCTTCAAACTTGGGTCAGACTTGTTTTATTTATATTGGGTTTTTGCACATGTTGTTTGAAGGAAAAGTAATGTCAGCTGCTAAAAGAATACAGCTTGAAAACCACGGCTCCAGGACCACTATTCTATTCCTGACAGTTTTACTTTAACGCATGTTGACTGCCTCCCACTGTCCCTGCATGCTGCAGTGCCTGAGTCACTGCCCAGAGGAGGCTGGGAGCGCCCTCAGGACAGGACCTGCGCTCCTCCCCATTTATTCCCACCTGCCTCACACAGGGCCCAGCCAGGACCCTCAGTACCGTCCATTCCGTGAAGAAATGCCAGAGCAGGCACTTGCAAGGCTCCCCAGGAGTCCAGTCTCACAAGAACCATAAACACGGTCAGGGAGAGACTCTGCTCAGAAATGCATTTCCTGAAAAAGTCATAGAACCCTTCTGGAACCTCTCTTGGTTTGCTGATTAAAAAAAAAACCCCAAAACCAAAACAGCTATTTCTAGTCTTCTAATGCCTTATCGCAGTAAAAAGCATCCAAGACGTCTTTCTGAAATTAAACTGCTTAAAAGCTTTAACTTTTGTCAATTGGCTAGAAATTGAGACTCCCTTTCCATGTTTTGGGAACTACTTACTCAAAACCCACCCCTATAGACAACGGTCTTCGGGGGTTTCAGGACCCACAAAGATGTTAACAGCTCTCTCTTCCTTTTCCTAAAGAAGGGATTCCTAACGGGGAAACTTTTGCTCCCCAGGGAAGTCTGGGGACGTCTGGAGACATTTTCATTTGTCACAACTGTGGTGGTGGTGGGGAGGTGCTACTGGCCTCTGGTGGGTAGAGGCCAGGGATGCTGTTAAGAACTCTACAACGCACAAGACAGCCCCTAGAACAAAAATTATCATGTCAATATTGCCAAGGGGAGAAACCCTGCTCTAAGGGTTTCAATCTTTTTAGTTTGAGTGTAACCACAGGCAGATTAAGGAACAGTGAACCAAGGAACTCTCTCATGGGCATTCCATAAAAAGCAATAAACTGTCATTGGGAAAAGCAGAAACACAAGTAAGTTAACCTAGGTTTCCTTCTCCAGCTGGTGTGACCCCATCTCTGTTGAGCACATCTTGTAGGGCACACGGGAATGCTACATGATGCAACCACAGGCCCTTCTATCAACTCTGAGACCAACCTGGTCTCAGGGGTGTAGGCAGACACAATTCTGAAACTCTGTTATGCATGCATAATGCTACTCACTGGGAATGAGTGATTGATTTTACTATCTAAATTTTAAATCACTTAACATGCCTCCAAGTAGTTGTCTGACTTGGAAAATCTCACATAATAAATTCATGTAATACATTTCCTGTTTTGAAGTTAGAGAGGCATACAGTTTTTCTTGACACAACATCAATTTATCCCCTCCCATAAAAGAGCTGTTGAACAAATAAGTGTTTAAAGATCATCCGTTGGAATCTTGCCCACAGCACCCAAATGTCCAGGCCCAGCCTTGCCTGTGATCCAAAGGGGAGTCCTGTGTCTGTGGGGTGGGGATTCCTTTTGCCCATATCTGCCCACAAGCTGTGGGACAGCACCAGCTTTGTAAGACTTCTTAGGGAGACCATCAGAGGAGTCAAAGGAAGCCTGGCTACTGTTCTCAAATCCCTTTTCATTCCTGTGCTTTCCTTTGCCCTGCTTTCCAAATAAGCCATGTTAATGCACCCTTGTTTTTAAACCAAAAAGCCAGATAATTCAAAGTTATAGCTCCAAAAGCAACTGCAATTCAGCCACACTCCACATAGATCTATATAAAGGTGTCAACTTTTATATCCCCCTGGGC